CACGCCACTCGTCCAGCCAAACTTCGGCCACTCGGGCCGCATTGTGGAGCACAATTTTGGCCACGCCGCCGGGAAGGTGTACGGCGATTTGTCACGGAACACGTGACCACATGGGAGCAGGGTATTATTTCTAAAATGCCGCCGCACTGCCAAATCTGCGGGTTTCGATTGCGTTTTTGTAATGTTTTCGTGTTGGTAGGATTGTTTTTTGTTGTTGTGGTGTGATTAGAAATAAATTTTAAATTTAAATTGAAAACTCTTAAAATAAATAAGGAATCTTAAATGTAAGCAGCATTTGAATTTGATTTGCGGCTATAAAATTAACCAATATTCAAACGTAACAAAGAAGAAAAAAAGAAAAAAAAACAGAAGAGAAAACTATTGGAAAAATGCTGTGACATTGCCTTACACGGAACGACATCTCCAGATTCTCGCCGCCCCAGATGTCCATGCCCTCGTCGTAGGAACCAATCTCATAGAAGTAATCCTTATCGATAGAGAACAGGCCACCAGCCATGGTGGGAGTGCGCAACGGGGCAGTTCTATCATTATTCCGACGCGCCATCTCACGCGAAGGCACTCGGTACCTTAAAAATTAAGAACAAATAGTATTCAAAGACTTTCCTAATTTAAATACTCTCCATTGCTTACCATCTAAAGTTGAGCTTCCAGTTGAAGCCACCCCACGTGGAATCTGAGGCCGTTATATACTCGAATGTCTCATCCGAAATAACATCAATAATGGGACACACAACCGTTCGACGATTCTGTACGATGCGAGCCAAGAGAGGCTCCAGCCAGCCCTCTGTACACCACAATGGGCATCCAGGAAGGTGATTACCTCGCCAACTGACATGCTCGGCACCCAGGAGGCGGGCACGGATCAAGCCCGAACGTTTCTCTGTGCGCAGCACAAACGTCTTCACTGGCAGCTTGGCTACGTACTCCTCCAACTGGTTTGCCCAGGAAATCTGCAGAAGAGAATTCAATTATTTAGTATTCCTGGACATCTCTTAGTTATCCCTCAACTCACCCTCTCGCTGGCATCGTCAACTAGGATGATCTCCTGAAGCAAAGCACGCGGCGAACGATTGATCACACTCCATACGGTTCGCAGCAGCGTCGTCCATGCTCATTATGGAAAACTATCACAATTGAAGTGGTTGGCAACTTTGAGGGATAGTGCTTGCGGCGGCAACTACAGTGGGATTTAAAACGAAACCAGTTTTTAGTAAAAAGTCAGAGTAAGTGGATATTGATAACTCACCCTTCGGCCGCACATCAGTTAGCGACCGATTCAACGAGATCATGTCACTGGCCAACAGATTGAACTGGTTCCCTTGAACTTATCCTTCATGAGATCCTTCATGTCGGCGGGTATCTTAACCGGCTTGCCCATCTCACCGGGCTGCCCTTCGCCTCCTGCACGGAGGGTGCTAGGAACCACTTTTAAGCACCACACTGGGATAGGTCATGGAGATGCCGCCGGGTGCAAAGCCCTGTCCCATGATGAGAGCTCCCGAATCACCATCGAGGGATTTCTCTGTATTAATCTCATTGTCGTCCACCAGTTGGTTATCATCCACCAGACGCTCGGCGTTGGGTAACTAGGGGAAGGAAATTTAAAGATATAGAGGAAGTTTTACGAGATATTTCAAGGAGAACAGCTAGCTCTGCCTTATAGCTCAATTCCGAACTTAAACTCACTTCTACATCGTACTCTCCCGATCTCTTGCAACGCCATCCGTCCTTGCCAATGCAATCCGAGTAGCGGGCGATGAGTACAAAGTCAAAGATCACCCAGACGAGGGAGGTGAGCAATACGATCCTGCAGGTGTTGGAGCGCATGCGTCCGCGCATTTTGCGTGTGAAGGTGGAGAAGGTCATGATTGTGGCTACGTCTGTTAACTATATGTCTTCCAGTTGACTATTGATCAACTGCTGATCTTTGTTTGAGATACTTTGATGATGTGGAACTTTGTGATATCTTGATTTTTTTTTTTAGTGAGGGACGATCATGTTAGTACCCTGTTGTTTTTCTTTTCTCCTTTCAGTTCTCGACGATATGTTGATGTCTTTTTGTGTTGCCTTATATTCGTAGTGTTGATGTTTTAGCTCTTGTGGATGTTGTTTACTATTGTTGTGTTGGTTATCGGTTATCTTTCGTTATCAGACTTTTATCGCTCCCTCAAGCGTGAAATGTTATTAAATTTGTGATTTTTCCAGTTGCTGTTTGTTGTTGTTGTAGTTGTTGGCACATATGGGAGCTCCTCTCCTTTCGTCTCGTCGTCCCTCTCTAGCTGTCTGTCTTCGGCCTGTCTCCCCACCAATCTCTCTCATGCTAACCTTCGATTGACCTTGATTAATGTTGTTGCCTCTGTTGTTGTAGTTGTAGTTGTGGTGTTTGCAGTTCTTTTTGGTATGGAAGTATCAGCATCCTTTCAAAAACGATCAGTATTCCATGGAGACGAGTTCCAGGTCCGGTTTCGCCTTGGAAAACTCATTCCCGGACCACATCCAGTTTGTCGTCTATCGATTAACGCGCTCTCTCTCTCTCTCTCTATTATCGCCAGACCTTCGATTATATATTATTCAACAGCTGCAAAGAAAGCAAAAAAAGAAAGAAAAACAAAAGCTAATGATAAATCACATTGAGATAATAATAATGAATAGAGGGGGAACAAAAAAAATGAAAGTTATGATTTCATATTGCTCTGCCACGGACTCAGTTTTTTTGTTAGGCAAATAAGCAAATAAATGAATAATTACATTCATATTTATCGTTTTTTTCCGGTGCCCAATTTAGCTAACAGCAAATACTTTAAATTAAATCAAAAAAATACCTATTTAATGATGAGTTATTCTACGCACAATTATTGTTCCGTGAAATAATTTATTTCAACTTGGCAGTTGCTCATCAGGGTTATTTACATTAATATTAAATAAATTATTACAGGACTTGTACTTTAAGCCTAAGACAAGTTGTTAATTGACGTTTGTCTGGAAAAGTGTTAGCCTTAACCTGCAAATTGCTGTGAGTTAATTGGCATGTTAATTGATGTGTCATAAGAGAGAAAAGTGTTAAGAATCTGATGAAGAAATCTTAAATCTTTCAGTGAGTTCAAGATTATAATAAATATTATAAAACCTTTATTTATTCATTAAAACTCTAAAAATCTAATTTGATTTCGATAAAGATAAAGATAATCAAGGTAAGGATTTGTATTATCATATAAGAAAAACCAACTTCTCGCATTGCATACTTGCTTAAAAAACAGCAATAAAACTGTTCATTTACAAATATAAATATATAAATAAATATTGCACAAACCAAAAAGTATTTTGTTTATTTATTATATTTTTCCCACTCGAATCTTCTGCTTTTTTTGTACAAAGATAGAAAGACAAACATGTGCTTTGCATGCCACCAACATCTGCATCAATAAATCGAATCAAAGCTTTCAATACCTTTTTTTCCGGCTTGGATTTTGCCGTTTTTCCTGGTTTTTATTTTTTTATTTTAAGCCCGTTTCCCACCGCAAAATCTCGTGCGCTTGCACACACCAAATGCCAACGGCAAGAAGAGTAAAGAAAAAGCAGCAAAAAACAGTTGGTTTTCGCTTCTTCTCTTTTTCTCCTTCAATCCAAAAGCCGTTTTGGCCAAAAAAATTCCATTGACAAAGGTCATAGTCGCAGACACCAACAGCAGCAGCGGCAGCAACAACAACAACAACAACAAACAGCGGCAAGACAAGCAGCATCAGCTGAAATGCCAAACAAGCCAAGTCAAGCTGTCAGAGCGAGAGAGAGACAGAGCGCCAAAAGCGCAACAACTCTTAACGGTATTTTGCTGGGGCTTTTCTGCTTTTTCCTGATACTCTTTCAAAGGGTATTATCCATTTTAAGCTTAAAAGATCTAACATGTAAAGGATAATAAAAGATACTTTTACTATACTTGAAAGACACTCCTTTTTTCCGTATACCTTTACTAGAAGTTCTTAAGCTCAAAAGATGTAACATGTATAGGTTTGTAAAAGATACTCTGTATGTGAAAAATACTAAATATCTAATATGTATACATAGGTTTACAAAAGATACTTTTTTAGTCTATGAAAGATAGAAGATACTTCGTTTTCCGTATAAATTCACTAGAGAACATTAAGCTGCAAAAAATCTAATATCTATAGGTTTGTAAAAGATTCTTTCTATATATTTAAAAGATACTATGTTTTTCGTATAGCTTTACTAGAGGATTTAAAGCTCTAAAGATCTCACATGTAAAGGTTTTGAGATCTTTGTATTTACATATGTGAATGATACTTAAGATCAAACATTTCAAGATGTCTTAGAGTCATAATTATGTAAAAGATATTGTGATAAGATACTGTGCATATTGCATTATATATTTTAAACATATTTTATAGGATGCCTCCTTTGTTTGTGATCAAATGATCACTTGATCACCATTCTTAGGAACAATATATATATTTTTGTTAACAAACCAGAAACAAATAGTTTCAGCTGCTCAACAAATACTGTCTCTAATTCTCTTGCAATTTGTAAATAAACAAAATAAACTGTAATACAATTTTGCACTCAAACAGAATCACATCTAGAACATCTCCAAGAAAAATATCTACTGTAAGAGTATTGAAAGCTCCCCCAAGTACCCCCCAACAATAGTTCTCTTTTGCATCTTTCGTTTTTTTTTTTGCGCACATAACGTGCATTTGAATCATTCATAAGGCATGCGACGTCAACCTCGTTGAGCGGCAAACTAGACAAGACTATGGGTCTGGGAGTCGGAGTCAGAGTCAGAGGGAGTCTCTCTCTGAAAAACCAGTTTCCCCACCAACTGAAAAGCAACTTGGTTGGGCTGCCCGGGGGCCAGATGCAGTGGGTGGTGCCTCGGAATGAACACACACTGGTAAAATATGCAGTTGCATGTGCAAGACCCCAGAAGAGGCAACTTCAGTGGCGCTCGCTGGAGAGCCCTTTTAGCCATTCAAGCCATCAATAATGCATTGGACGATGGCAAGGAAATGTGAAATATAAATTTCAGTTTTTATAATTATCAATATTCCAAGAGTCGCCAAAGCCAATGAGTCAGAGAGAGAGTTTGCACAAAAAGCAGAAAATGAAGGTAAATTGAAATCCGCACTGGACCAGCAAGGGGAATATAAAATAATTAATAATTCAGGGAAAAAATATTTCAGGTAAAAATCGAAAGGCCTTGGAGTCATGAAGCTTTCAATGGGGGTTATATCTGGTTTCAGTTATATTAATTTGTCAATTTACAGAATTTAATAGAATAGATAAAAGGTAGAGAGAATCCTTTTAGATATTTAAGAATTCAAGGAAATTTTCAGTAAAAATCAAAAGAGGAGCTCATGAAGCTATCAATGCTTAGAAAACCATAATTAAGGTTTGTTTTGATTTTAAGTTTCATTAATGAAATTACTAAAAGATTTCATACTAGAGTAACGATTTGAAAAGCTACATCATTATGAAGGAATATACTTAAAATACTTCATATATCAGATAATGTTATAAAATAAAATTTAAAAGAACCCACAGATACTTCACAGTTCCTCATTTTTATACCCTTGCAGGGTATTATAATTTCAGTCAGAAGTTTGCAACGCAGTGAAGGAGACACCTCCGACTATATAAAGTATATATATTCTTGATCAGGATCAACAGCCGAGTCGATCTAGCCATGTCCGTCTGTCCGTCTGTCCGTCTGTCCTTCTGTCCGTCTGTCCGTCTGTCCGTCTGTCCGTTTCTACGCAAACTAGTCTCTCAGTTTTGATGCTATCTGAATGAAACTTGCAGTTAGTCTTCTATATACTCTCACTCGTATATATGTCGGAACGGGCCGGATCGGACGACTATATCATATAGCTGCCATAGGAATGATCGAACAATTTTTACAAAAAAATTTTTAACTTTTTCAGTTTTCAATAGAATTGGATCAAATTTGAGATATAGCCATTTTACTATACTCTACAATTTTGCATAAAATTTTATGAAAATCGGAGTACTATATCATATAGCTCCCATAGGAACGATCTAGAAATTAATACAATTAATTTATAACCTTTTCAGTTTTCAACGGATTTTCATCAATTTTAGGTATAGGCATTTTTATATTAGTCTTAAATTTTGTCAAATAAAAATTATTTTATATATCTGATTTTCAATATAATATTATATGAATGGCTATTATCATATAGTCCATACAACCGTTAGTAAAAAATCAATCATGAAAATAATATGTATGGTGAATACATAAGCAGTATTCATTGTTTTTTTAACACATATATATTTATATTGTATGGTTTTTTATTCATAGAAGTTCTATCTGCAAGGTATATAAACTTCGGCGTGCCGAAGTTAGCTTCCTTTCTTGTTTTTACTTTCTATTTCAACAAATTTGAAAATAAATATGGAAAATATAGAGCGTAAATAAAGATTTTACATCATGCCGGGGCATTAACACAAAACCATCTATTGATGACATTTAAGAGGGGCTCTTCCCATTCGATTCGCTCTGTGTTTGACGCATTTAAAATGAATAAAATTTGTAACAGCTCTGTTTCACGGTTATTTGTGCTTTTGCCATTCATTCGCTTGCATATTTCACTATAGACAATTCAATTACAATTATGTCAAATGAATACATTTTACAATTTGTGTGTTTGTGTGGGTTCTGCTTGAAAAGCATAATTGGCGTCTGGTAAAATGTTGAAATGCAATTATCTGCACATAACACAGGAGCAGGAGATTGAATCGAAATTGATAGCGGGAATGGGAAATATGGGTCGAGAAAAAACAGAGCAGTCTGCATGTGAAAGTCACGCTTTGTGAACTGCTAATTGACAGGTAATCAGTTTAGCTGCTGAAAACAGCAAACACACACATGGATTTTATTTACGAAATTATACAAAATAAAAGTGAATTACCCTTAAAAATTAATCACTGTTCACTGTTAATCAGCACTTGACAGTAGAATGTTTGCCTATAAATTAAATTACAATCTTATCTGATAGGAATACATATTGAATCAACATTAGCACTTAATTATAATCCAATTCAAAGCAATTGAAGCTATCACCAGAGGCACCAGAGATGTCCAATCATCAATATATGTATATATATGGGAAACAGAGTAACAATAATAGCTAAAAGCATGTGAATAACACAAACACAGTGGGTTCTTAGATTAACAGAGAGGAAAGAAGACTATTTATTGTTTTAAAATAATAGCTACCTAATTTAGACATTCAATTAATTTTAAACAATAAAGATATGTGCTAAATCTTTTAGTTCTTTGATGATTCCTTGATTGATGTTTTTGCTCAACAGTTTCCATGACTCAGTATCAGTTACTTTAAAAATAATTAAACCCTTAAAGAACTGACTCTCTAATTATGAAGAATTCCCTTTCAACCATTAATTTTCTCTTAAAATACAACCAATAATCCCCTAGAAGCCTTGCCTTTCTGTATGTAAAACATGTTTGCAGCTCTCAAGAGTAATTTGCTGCCAACTTTTGACTCACTGTTCTGTCGCAGCAAACGACGACGACAGCAATTG